GGGGGGGGCTCACCTGCCGCAGCGGGCGTCCTCAGGGCCAGGCCGCGCAGGGCGGGGGCGGCGCAGCTGCGGAGGAGCCGGGCGGCGGCCAGCATGGCTGAGGGACGGGGAAACGGACGGACGGAAGGGAGGCGAAGGAGAAGCGAGGCCCCGGCGGCGGTTAAGCGCGCGACTTGCGCCTGCCTACTCGCTCGCCACACGCGGCCCCCTCCGGTCACCCGGAGGACAAAAATGGGACGAGCCGGGCTACGGTGGCGCGCGAGGGACAAACGTCGCGCCACGCACGCCACGCACGCGGGAGGGGGCGCCAGAAGAGGCGGGAAGGGAGCGAGAACAGGGGTGGGGGGGTGGAGTGGAGTGGGATGGGGGATGCGCGCGCAGGCGGCCTGGGGCGGGGCGTTCCGTTTCCAAAGGAGGAGAAGGAGGAGGAGAGAAAAAAGGAGGGGCGGGGGTTTCTGCCGCGCGGAGGCGGGCGGGGCCGTCTGGCTGGGCAGCCAATCAGAGAGAGCGAGAAGAATTAACCTGGCGGTAGGGTTAGGCCACTTTGGCTCTTTTATGACTGGTGGACTTCAACTCCCAGAATTCCTAAGCCAGCATGGCTCAGCGTGGAAACCTCTCCCTTTCCCCTCAACATGGCTGGCTCAGGAATTCTGTGAGTTGAAGTCCACCAGTCATAAAAGAGCCAAGGTTGCCTACCCCTGACCTATACCTTCTCAGACAAGTGACTGTTTAGCCCAGGGGTAGGCAACCTTGGCTCTTTTATGACTCGTGGACTTCAACTCCCAGAATTCCTGAGCCAGCATGGCTCAGTTTGGAAACCTCTCCCTTTCCCCTCAGCACGGCTGGCTCAGGAATTCTGGGAGTTGAAGTCCACCAGTCATAAAAGAGCCAAGGTTGCCTATCCCTTTGAACCAGGGACTTAATCGGGGAAAAAAAGTTCAAGGTTGCCGGAATGTTCAATTCTGCGCTTTTAATTCAAATAAAATCAGAAGGATGATGAATAATGAAGTTATGGGTGTTTGGGGGTTGTTTTTTTTTGCATGGCTTGGCTGCCTAGCCTCTCTCTCTCTTTTTTTTTTTTTAAATGACATCCACAGCTTTGCTGTGCCACCTGGTGGCTTGGGAAGACATTTCTGGAGACTTTCCCCAAAGTTTTAAAAGATTTATAGAGGAGGGTGGCCGATTCCCAAACTGGCCACCTTCTGCCCTGCAGTTGGGACCATCCTTCCTCACCCTTTCTTTCCTTCCAGGGCTAGGCTGGTGCTTTATTTAAGTCGTCTTCGTTGCACGCTTTCTTCAAGGCTCCCTCCGCACACCTCAACCTTGAGTCATAAATCACGTTTTAAAAAGTGCAACGCGGCATATTCAAGACGCTCCATTGCAGGTTCGCACCATTGCGGTTCTGTGAGCCTCGTGGAACAAACCAGATAGGAATCGCAGCCAGATGTACTAATGAATCAGTTAATTAATTAACTCATGAATTAAGAAATTTCCTGACAGTGAGAACAATCAGTGGAACAACTTGCCTCCAGAAGTTGTGGATGCTCTAACACTGGAGGTTTTTAAAAAGAGACTGGGCAAGCATTTGTCTGAAATGGTATAGGGCAGTGATGGCGAACCTTTTAGAGACCGAGTGCCCAAAACCCACTTATTTATCGCCGGGTGCCAGGTGGGCGTGGCCCACTGGGTGGGCGTGGCTGTGGTCATGGCAGACTGGATGGGTGTGGCCAAGGTGGGCGTGATCACCTCGATGTTGCTTGTGGGGAGGGACGCCTGTGGGGGCCGGTCAGGGTTGAGGGAGATCCAGGGGGTCTCTGGCAGGTGGGGCGGTGGGCAGGAGGCTCGTCCTATGGGGTGAGGCGAGGCAAGGCGAGGAAGGGTGGGGGTGCCACTGTCAAAGGGCAAGGTGAGGCAGGGGCCGGGGCAGCTGCTGCCTGACACCATTGGCCCCCGCACACAGATACCAATGAGCACATGGGTGCTGGGATGCATCCAGCCACGTGGGACCTCGGCGAGTTAACGGGCGGCTGGTTGAAGAGGGATGGTTGCCATCTCTGGGGCATGGTGCGCGTGCCCACAGAGAGGGATCTGAGTGCCGCCTCTGGCACGCGTGCCAAAGGTTCGCCACCACTGGTATAGGGTTTCCTGCCTGAGCAGGGGGTTGGACTAGAACAGTGATGGCAAACCTTTTAGAGACCGAGTGCCCAAACTGCAACCCAAAACCCACTTATGCATCGTCAGGTGCCGGGTGGGTGTGGCCCATTGGGTGGCCGTGGCTCATTGGGTGGGCATGGCTGCTGTGGTAACGGCAGACTGGGTGGGACTAAAACATTCAATCAATCAATTACAACTTTGCAAGATCTTTTTTTTCCCCGAGAGAAGTTGAAATTGACTGATTGATTGAACCTTTTTTTTTGCACATGGAGGTGGAGGCCTAAAGCGAAAAGGTTTTATAAAACCCAGCTGAAGGCCTAGGACTGGGGCAACGGCACGCGTGCCCACAGAGAGGGCTCTGAGTGCCGCCTCTGGTACCCGTGCCGTAGGTTTGCCTCCACTGGACTAGAAGGTCCCTCCCAACCTATTTTCTTTCTATTTCTATTTCTATTATTTCTATTTCTATTATTTCTATTTCTATTATTTCTATTTCTATTTCTATTATTTCTATTTCTATTTTTATTTCTATTTCTATTTCTATTCTACTGTAAAGCACAATGATGGAATCTTGCAAGACGGAAAATACAATTCTCCCCCCCCCCTCTTCTTTACACTGGAGACACGAGGGATGTTCTCTTCTGAACTCTTGTTCCACTCACTATCTAGCTGTGGATTGTGCTGTCTCGTATTTGAACGTTCCTTTGGCAGTCTTGCGACCATGCTCATTAAAAGCTCCATCACCAAGTAAACTCACCAGATGGTTCAGCCATAGGCCACCTTGGCATGACACATGGATCTTCTGGTGCTGGGGGCAAACCTTTTAAAGCTTTTAGTCAGTGCCTGTAACAATCTGACAAATGAGACGCTGGGATCCTGTGGAGCATGGAGCCCTTGGGGATATATAACATTTAAAACATGGCTGGTAGAATTAATGTAAGCAGTTCCCGTCCTTCTTTCCTCTACACTAAAAAATGACTGATCTGCAGCCATTACGCATCATGGGCCTAGTGCAGGGGTAGGCAACCTTGGCTCTTTTATGACTCGTGGACTTCAACTTATAAAAGAGCCAAGGTTGCCTATCCCTGGCCTAGTGCAATCAGTCAATCAATCAATCATTCAATCCCCTTCCCAAGATCGCCATTCATCTTCTTTGGTGGTTTGAGTTCCTCCACACCTTCCACAGTTGATCCCAGTCTTGTTGGGAAGGAAGAGGGAGAAGAAAGTCAACAAAGGGTTGAAGCAGAACAACAGCTGAAAATTAGTATTCAATCATGCAGCAGGAAGAGGAGCAAAATGAATTGATCTGTGTGGCAAAGAGATAAGGGTCCACCGTTAGCCCCAAGGAAGCAGCTGTTTGCGGGTAGATAAGGCAATCTAACAAAGATTCTATTAGGAGCCTCCCTGCCTCTCTCTCTCTCTCTCTCTCTCTCTCTCTCTCTCTCTCTCTCTCTCTCTCTCTCTCTCTCTCCTGTAGATTTCACACCACATACTACATTTTTTTTTCTTATTTTCGTTCCCGTCTCGGTTAGAACAGGGCTCTTGACCATAGGAGACAGAGAGATGGAAGGTCTTCTTTTCTCCTCTCCAAACTTCTCTAAGGTTACTGCCATTTTTTCATTCCGGATTTCTCATTTTCAGCAACCACCTGGCTGCCCTGTCACCAGATTGGAAGCCAAAGTTGGGTGATGAACAGAGAGATACACAGACACGGAGGTTTAGAGAAACCATTACCGCATTTGACAGCTTGCAAGTGACCGATGTGAGCTGGTGGGAATGCAAATGTGTACAAATGCTGTCTATCAAAAGCCAGGGTGGATGATGCCCCCTTTGCCAACCTTTTGTGGAGGGTCTTGGTAAACAGCATGACCCTCCTTTTGAAGAGCAAGAGACGAGGTAGAAGAACGTGGCTGCGGATGAACAGAAAATGGATTCTTTGCCTGAAGAGCAGGCCCTCTGCATATCTCAGAAATCGTGTAAGCTTCCTGTCGGATAACAATGCCTTTGTCCTTGTGGTTTGGGTTAAGTGGAGAACGCTATCCATAACATCAGGGTTTCCCAACCTGGGCAACTTTAAGATGATTGGACTTCAACTCCCAGAATTCCCCAGTCTGCTGGCTTTCATGGCTAAGGTGAGACTAGAACTCTCAGTCTCCTGGAAATTGGTCCAAAGTCACTCAGTCCTCTTTCGTGTTTAAACCGAGACTAGAATTCTCCATCTCCTGTTTTCTGGCCTGGTGCCATAACCATTAAAGCATACTGGCTCTTGTGTTGTGTCTTATTCCAAAAAGCATGACTAAAAAGCCAGCTGCTTAAACATCTGGGTTAATCCAGCTGTGGTCCTCATCCCCAAAGATCACATCCAGCCTGGGAGTGAGCTACCTCATTTGGCGCTCTCCGTGGTGCTACAAACCGACTCGTCTTAACGAGGGTATTCTTTTTTGCTGCTTAATCATTAATGCATTGATTTTAAACATAGGCATGTTTTCAGCCAACTTTCAAGCCAATCCCTCAAAGTAGCCCTCAGCAATCAGGTGCATGCAATTAAAGCACATTATAATCAAACATGATCACAGCCCATTGATAACCAACATTAAAATTCCAGCCACAATATTCCCATCAGACGCAATTACAGCTGAACTACATTTTATGGAACTGGAACAAATAAATTGGGCATTAAGGCTTCTTTCAGTTGGTAATGATCAAGTCTGGTAATTCACACATTCGCGAAAAGCCTCCATCCTATGATTCTAACCCAGAATAGCATTCAAAAGAGACTCTTTGAGGATTTGGGATTGTAAGATTATGTTTACTGAGAGAGTGAGTTTGGACTAGTGCTGAAGGCACCAGGCTTGAATCCAGGAGGCTGGGAGTTCTAGTCCTGCTTTAGACATGAAAGCCAGTTGGGTGACTTTGGACCTATCATCAGGAGACGGTGAGTTCTAGTCCTGCTTTAGACATGAAAGCTGGCTGGGTGACTTTGGACCTATCACCAGGAGACAGTGAGTTCTAGTCCCACTTTAGGCATGAAAGCCAGCTGGATGACTTTGGACCTATCACCAGGAGACGGTGAGTTCTAGTCCCACCTTAGGCATGAAAGCCAGCTGGATGACTTTGGACCTATCACCAGGAGACAGTGAGTTCTAGTCCAGCCTTAGACATGAAAGCCAGTTGCGTGACTTTGGACCAATCACCAGGAGATGGTGAATTCTAGTCCTGCCTTGAGCCTGAAAGCCAGTTGGGTGACTTTGGACCTATCACCAGGAGACGGTGAGTTCTAGTCCTGCCTTAGACATGAAAGCCAGCTGGATGACTTTGGACCTATCACCAGGAGACAGTGAATTCTAGTCCAGCCTTAGACATGAAAGCCAGTTGCATGACTTTGGACCTATCACCAGGAGACGGTGAGTTCTAGTCCTGCTTTAGACATGAAAGCTGGCTGGGTGACTTTGGACCTATCACCAGGAGACGGTGAGTTCTAGTCCCACCTTAGGCATGAAAGCCAGTTGGGTGACTTTGGATCAATCACCAGGAGATGGTGAGTTCTAGTCCTGCCTTAGGCCTGAAAGCTGGCTGGGCAACCTTGGGACAGTCACTCCCCCTCAGCCCAACCCACCTCACCTTGTCATTATGGGGAGAATAGGAGGAGAAAGGACCATTAGGTATGCTCATTGCCTTGAGTTATTTATAAAATTAAAGGTGGGATATAAATAATAGATAAGTAATAAAAAATGTCTGGGTTCACACAACTATCTAAACCCAACTATCCACCAAACCCTTCAGGGCTTAGCTCATTTCTTCTGTGATTTACGTTTACCTCTAATTGATGGTTTTATTCAACCAAAATCTGCAAAATAATCTGTGGTTGACGGGGTTCGGACATGAGAATAAGCCAAAAGCCAGCAAGTCCCATTATTTGTACAGACCCAGCCGGTGTATAGAATCGTTCAAAGGCCAGCGAAGAGCGAATATTTCTTCTCATTTCTGTAGTGGTGAACCCAGCACATTTTTTATATCCCAACTGACACATTATTTGTCTCCAAGAAAGATTGCTTTTAATGGATTTTTTTTTCATCCGCTTCTGAAATGCTCATGTAACCTTATAAAGTCTCTGGTCCTGGTATTGTGTCACTTTTATGATATTCGCTCGAGGCCTGGCAAGCTTTAGAAGCTTTTCAAACAGAAGCACCATAAACACATCAGGAAGGAGAAAAGAAGACCTCAGAATAAGGGGGGGGGGGAAAGGACTAAGGAATAAAGCATAACCAATTCTTTTATCTTTAGGTCCAGGGCACCAGGAGATAACCCTGGCCTGCTCCCCAATCCCTAGGATTATTTTGCTAAAATTAAATAGCAAAAATGCTAATCATGCTGGCATTATTCCCTCCTGGTGATGAGTCAAAATGGCTCATTCCATTGACCAAGATGTATTGTGTGCCCATTTAATGTGTTGTTGAAAAGAAAAGAAATGAATGAATGAATGAATGAACCTTTATTATCAAAGTATAACATGTATACAATGAAATTGGCTGAGCCTCCCTCCATGCCCCCCCCCACAACTCACAGTGACTACAAACCCCCAACTTATTACACCCTGTGAGCTAATTGCATATCACGCCGGCCTTGCGAGTCTGTCACGCATAAAGTTATGTCCCATTCAGAAGCCTGACAACCCATGGATTGGGTTCTTCAGCCTGTTGGTACGGCTGGCTATATTTCTGTATCTCCCGATGGTAGGAAAGTAAAGAGGTACCAACCAGAGTGTGAGTAATCCCTGAGAATTTTCCTCACTCTGCCAAGGCAACGGGCCCTGGCAATGTCGTCCAGTGGTGTCAGGGAACAGCCCACAATGTCTTGCGCCATGCTCATCAAAATGGGGGAGATTGTTCAGCCCATCAACCCTCAAATCATGCCCCATTAACGATTTCACAGTATCCATATCTTTATACCCCACAGCTCCTAAGGAGAGCATCCCCTGTTTGCAAAAATAGTCTAGTGATTGGTGGCAACCCATTAATCATTTTGACCACCTAGTACCAGGTGCTTTTTCACCCCATGCAAAGGAAAGCTGCAGTCCCACCATAAACAAAACCCCGAAGGCGCAGAGATGAATCCTCGGAAGAGCACAAAGGCTTCAAATATTTAATAGCTTCCTGTCCCTGACTTGCATCTTTCTAATCTGAGGCCTGACATGGACGAGAAGAGCAAACTAGGTCCATCTGTCTCTTTCTGGGCCTCACTCAAAAGAAATCACTGGGCTGTAGCCTTAGAACTGGCCATTAATAACCCCGACAGCTGGTGATGAAGGTGTGACTTCAGCAGGGCCTGTGTTCTTCCTGACAACCCAAACATCTCAATGTAGGCTTCTCAGCTTCCTATCCCTGCAAGCTGAGAACTGGCCTTCAACTGGGGGGCTTGGGGAGGTTGCCTGCCTCCACTGGGGTCAGGTATTCAGCGACATCAAAGAACACAGTGACTGGACGCCATCAAAGCTGACACCATCCAGAGCATAGAACAATTCAAAGAAGGAGTGCAACTTCAGAGGATGTGGAGAGACCTGGCCCACAGAGTCAAGAATCGGACACAGCTGAATGGATCACATCATCATCCTTGAGTGACCTGGAGATTTGTCCTTTGCTGAGCTCTGAGTGAGCATCCAACATCTCTAGAAGATTGACGTCAGGGAAAGCTCTACCAAGACAAACTCACCATGACCATCGGTGGGAGGGTCCAATGACTCTGGAGCCCAGCAGCTAAAGAAGATGGAACTGCATGATGAAAAAAAAGTGTGGATGGGGGAACATCCCTGGTTGTTTTCCCAATAGCTGGCATAACGATCAGTCCCTTCTCAGCCATTCCCCAAACAAAGAAATGGGGCCAAAAAAAAAAAGAACTTTGGTAAGGTACATTCAATCATGGCTTGTTCAATCAAACTTTACTAAACCAACCACAACCGGTGGGGTGTGCAGAACAGTCCAAATCTGAACCCCTGTTTTACAAACCACGGTTTACAGAACCCCCTGAGCCCAAACCAAAGAAAACACGGCCATTACCCACAATGTGTGAATCTCCTCTTGTGTCAACCAGGTTTTCTTTTTCCCTACTGACAAACACCCAATAAGTCCTTTAGACATGTACAAGATATTCTATTGTGTCATGGACAATGTATTCATGCAACTTTCCATAGGAACAAAAAGTAGCAAATTTCCAGGCATTCTGCAAAATGTCTTCCCCTCTGACTGCTGTGAGGTTAAAATAAGCTTCTTTGTATCAGCTCTTCTCATATGTGCTACCTATGGCTCTTGAGCATTGGGTACCCCCAATGTTTCCTTCTTTAGCCGGTCTGTCATTCTGCTGGGGGCATCTACAAAATGAAGAGTATTTTCCCTCTCCCTCCACCCTGCCCTCTATCTCAGCTCTATCTCACATCTAAGGTCCACCTAAATTTGGCTTTGTTCACCATCCAAATCAAAGTAGTGTACATTCCATGGGGTTTAAATCACTCAGACAACCAAGTCAGCACTGGGGAAAACATAACAGTTGGATCAAGCTACATTTTCCTTGTGCCTATGCTCGAGCAGGGGGCTGGACTGGAAGACCTCCGAGGTCCCCTCCAACTCTGTTATTCTGTAATTCTATAATCCCAAATCAATTAACCAGTGGAAGAGCTTTCCCCTCAGAAGTTGTGGGTGCTTCATCACTGGAGGCTATCAAGAAGGGACTGGACAGCCACTTGTCTGAAAAGGTCTAGGGTCTCCTGCTTGATGCAGGGGGTTGGACTAGCACAGGGCTTTTCAACCAGTGGTATGGGTACCACCTGTGGTACATTGGCACCTGGCAGGTGGTACGCGACCATCCTGGAAAAGTGGTAGCGGGGGACGGGAAGGAGCTGAACCGGTGACAGCACCGCACAAGCCTGAGTGAGAGATGGCTGGAGCTGCAGGGCTGTTGGCTCAGCGGAAGCGCCAGGATCAGCACTTCTTTGGGGCTGTCAGGGCTCAGTGGAAGTGCCAGGATCAGCACCAGGCTCCTCGACCTCGAGCCGCGACTAGGACCGCGAAGACGACTCGGGACTTCTTCGTGGTTAGTCGACCTTACAACGTCGTAGAGGTCCCAGAACACTAAATGTAAGTCTACGAACCGTTGACTAAGTATAAATACTACCAGTGTCACAGGGTCCCAGTACACTTCACTGGTTTTGGACGACGTTGGTGGCAGCAGACGGGGGGAATAAAAACCAAACACCCCCCATCCCACCCCCGCTGCCAATCCTCAATAGAAATGCCGGGTACACAGGCAGGTGTCTTGCTCGGCTGTGGCTTGGGGGGCACCTTTTTCAGTGAGATTGTATTTTCAAACAGTCACTAAGCAAACTGTTGTAAGTCGAGGACTACCTGTACTTTATCACTTTTTTCCTTTTTTTTTTGGTCATCACGTTTTGGACCCCTTGCTAGGCGACTGGTGGTACTCCTATTCTGTACGTGAGTTCAATGCAAGCTGAGGTGTTAATTCAGAAGTGACACCAGCTCTGTTTGCAACCCACCTTCTCTTTCCAAAGCGTCTCTAAATGTAAATTGCACATTCAACCGGTTGTCCTTGTAAGGCTGGCATATGGCTTGGATTATTCTTTTCGCAGTGGCCGAAGGCTGAAGGAACACACACGTGTGCAACTGAGTCAAAATCCCCAAGTCACGACCTCCCAGAGTTCTTGTTGTTGGGCTGCATGGCTGGGCTAGTCCTCTTCGTGGGGCGCAATCAGTCTTCTCTTGGTTGCCTTGGGGGAGATCCTGCTCTCAGCCCAGAGGCTGTCGGGAGGGCTGGGAGCTTGGTAGCCCATCTGATTGGGGTCCACCAAGTCCTTGGACAAGAGGATGTAGATGGAGGGCACATTCTTGTGGACAGTGAGGTGTTCAGGAGGTCCTTCCGCCCTTGGTCCTTGGTTCTCCCACACTTCCACCAAGGTCCGGTATTGGAGCCTGGTGACCTGGTGGAGACCTCCCAACTTCCTCTTCATGATCTCCACGCAGGTGATGGTTTTGGTGACCGCCCGTCCGCAGCCGCTGAAGACAATCTGACGGATCTCCTCCTCCTCCATCTTGGCCATGGCGAAGCCCATCAAGTTCCGGATTTTGCTGCCCTCCTTCACCTTCATCTCCACCACGTGGGGCTGCAAGTCAGAGAAGGGCAAGGGGCCGCCTTGCTCTGAGGTCTTCACCTTCCTGAAGTTCTCCATCCTGGACTGGACGGCCGGGGGTCCAGTGGGGAGGAGGGAAGCCGTGGCCTCCTCCGCTGCTCCAGAACTCATCCTTTGGGCCATCATCCGAGGACCCTCGGTCAGGGAAGAGGTTCCCCCCGGCTCGGAATCTCCCAGCTGCATCTCGGACCCCAGGGAGAAGAGTCTCGCGGAGGACCCTAACCCGCGTCAAGACTTCTCAAAGGAAAGACTCACCGGGAAGCGAAGCGGCCCGAAGCTCCGGCGACCTCCAGCGCTTTGCTCTGCCTGGAAGGTTGTGGGGAGCCCGACTTTCCGCCCGCTGCGTCTCGACGGCCGCTTGCACCTGCCGTAGCCTTCTCGGCTTCATCCTGGAGCGGCTTCGGTTCCTCCAGCCGTCCAGCAACGAGGGGAGGCAGGTATCACGGACGAAGCCGGGCAGAGCGCGCGATGCAACCCCTCTCGCCTTTTCCAGCGTCCCGTTCAGCGTTCCCTGGCCGGGGAGCAGAGCCGGTCCGCCCGTCCGTCCGACGTCTCTGCCTCCGTCGAGGCGCGGCTGAGCGCCAGGACGGGGCTCCCGGGCAGACCTTCCTTCCTTCCTTCCTTCCTTCCTTCCTTCCTTCCTTCCTTCCTTCCTTCCTTCCTTCCTTCCTTCCTTCCTTCCTTCCGCGGCGCCCGGCTCCCGGCCAACGTCCCGGCGCGCTCTCGCCGCTTCGCTCGGCGGCGCCCGAGTCTGCTCCGGCTCAAGGACGAGCGGGCGGTGCGCAACTGGGAATCGTCGGTGTCAGCAAAGTGCAGGCGGCGGCGGCGGCGGTCCCTGCCGCGGAGGCGTCGTCGCCGCGCTCTCCCCGCCTCCCGGGAGGGAGCCCTCCGCCTGGGGAGGGGGCGGGAGGGCTCCAGAAAGGGTCCCCTTCCAACCGACGGGCGGCCCCTGCAAGGTAGGACGAGGGCTGGTTGCGGAGGGGCTGGGGGTGGGGGTGGTCTGCCTAGCAGGAAGGCTGGAGGCGTCTCTGGCTATTTGGGGATGGGGGCTATGGGCTTGGCCAGGGTGGGTGTGACGGTTTAGCCTTCGAGACACACACACACCCCGTCCACTCTCTCTTTGGAGCCCTTGGCTCCGAGTCGCCGGTCTGGAAAGTCCGATCCTCTGCCCTTAGGAGAAGTCCTTCTGTTTCGGGCTTGGAGGTGGGACTTGTCTCCTGGCTTGGTGGACCTCTTCAAGAGCTGGGTTCCCTGGAGGAGGAAGAGCTTCTCACCTTCTGAGGTCAACTGAGAGTAAATTCTCCTTCCTACCCTCCTCCCCACAAACCTCACTCCCTTCTTGCACTGATGGTGTTACCTAGTTGGGTCATGAAACATCTGCAAGAAAACAACCAGGCTCAGAGAGCACCAAGGACCCCACAGTCTTTCTCCTCCTCCTCCTCCAAATTCCAAATTCCAAATCCTTTATTGTCAAAGTGCAACATGTGTACAATGAGATTGGCTGAGCCTCCCTTCGTGCACCCCCCATCACAACTCACAGTGACAACAAACACACAATCTTATTGCACCATGTGAACTTATTGAGCAACGCACCGGCCCCGCAAGTCTATCCTACATGGAGTTATTTTCCATTCAGGAGTCTGACAGCCCCTATGGGTAGAAACTGTTCTTCAGCCTGTTGGTGCGGCTGGCTATGCTTCTCTCCACAAACCCCACTCCCTTCTAGCACTGATGGTGTTACCTAGTTGGGTCATGAAACATCTGCAAGAAAACAACCAAGCTCAGAGAGCACCAAGGACCCCACAGTCTTCTTCTTCCTCCTCGTCCTCCTCCTCCTCTCTACAAATCTCACTCCCTTCTAGCCCTGATGATGCTGGGTAATGAAACACCTGCAAGAAAACAACCAAGCTCAGAAGGAGCCAAGAACCCCATTCTCCTTTTCCTCCTCCTCCACTCTGCCTCCCCCTTCCCTTCTAGCACTGATGATGTTACCTAGTTGGGTCATGAAATGTCTGCAAGAAAACCACCCAGCTCAGAGAGCACTCAGGATGCCACAGTTCAGTCCTGAGAAATATTTTCTCTTCTATCGGAAACTTCCAAAGGCCAAATTGAAATGGTGAGCTTCCAGACAAACTGTGATATACATTTTGTGAAAGATATCTTCTCCTTGGGCAACAAAGAGATTGGTCCGAGGTTATCATTGTTGTTCCTATCCCAAAAGAAAAGTGGGGGAAAAAAAATCATTCCTGTGACTAAATTTATATAAGGCTTCTTGATGGACTTGCAGCACTCCAGGCAAAGGAGAAACAGTTGAAAGATGGATAAACGGTGCAGGATATTGATTTTCAATTGAGATATCGGCTTCATGGAGCTCTCAGGACTGTTTTTATGCCTTTCGGAGATTGTAAATCTCTCCCCTTTGACTGATGAGTACCAGGATGGAATTTGGGCATTTTCAGATGAGCGTCAAAACAACCCAACGCTCTCCTTCATCTCCACAACACGGTTTGGTTTAACTGTTGGGTTCGCATTTTTCTGAATTTTCAGCCAGTGTGGCTTGCAAGTGATTGGCTTCAGTTTGTGTGAACCGAATCAGTTCTGATTTATTCAGCAAATCATGGCTAAACACAAGTAATCAAGGAGAGAAGCAACCTAGAACCGTGGTGGTGAACCTATGGCATGGGTGCCACAGGTGGCACTCAGAACCCTCTCTGTGGGCACGCGTGCCGTCGCCCCAGTGCTAGGGCTTCAGCTGGGTTTTATAAAACCTTTTCACTTTAGGCCTCCACCGCCATGTGCAAAAAAAAAAAAAGGTTCAATCGATCAATCAAATTTCAACTTCTCGCAGGAAAGAAAAAGATCTCGCAAAGTTGGAATTGATTGATTGAACTTTTTAGTCCCACCCAGCCACGCCCACCCAATGGGCCACGCCCACCCAGCACTCAACAATACATAAGTGGGTTTTGGGTTGCAGTTTGGGCACTCGGTCTCTAAAAGGTTTGCCATCACTAACCTAGAACTAAGGAGAAATCTCCAGACAGTTAGATCAATCAGTGGAACAAGAACGGAGGTCTTCAATACCCATGAGGTTGTGACCGCCAAAAATTCTTGTCTAACCCGTTGGTAAACAGACTTTACCGAATCCCGTCACTACCACTTTGGAAATCTCTGCCTCACGGGTTTGACGTTGGGTTTTAGGTGAATAAATAGCGGCCCACGGTCCACCCGCACCGGGTGACCCACCCGCACCGACACCACCAGATGGCAGATTGGGTGGGTGTGGCCAAGGTGGGGATGGTCACCTCGATGTTGCTCGTGGGGAGGGATGCCTGTGGGGGCTAGGCAGGGTTGGGGGAGATCCAGGGGGTCTCTGGCAGGTGGGGCAGTGGGCAGGATGCTCGCCCTGCAGGGTAAGGCGTGGTGAGGCGAGGCAGGGCGGGGGTGCCATTGTCACAGGGCAAGGCAAGGGTCAGGGCGGTGGCTGCTTGGCATCATCGGCCCCCGCATACAGAGGCCAGCGAGTGCATGGGGGCCGACGGTGTCCGTCAGCAGCCACAGCCTGCCGGCCCTTTGACTGGCGCACTCTGGAGCTCTGCAGCCCAGCAGTTCAAAGAAGCCCCTCCGAGATGGATGGCCGGCCGACAGCTGAGGAGGTGATATAGTGGGTCGTGCAGGGAAAAGGAGAGCATGCAAGGCCAGGAGGGATGGGACAGGGGGGAAGGAAACCAGCCATGCCGGGATGCATCTGGCCACGTGGGACCTCGGCTAGTTAGCAGGCTAGTTGAAGAGGGACAGTTACCATCTCTGGGGCATGGTGTGCGTGCCCACAGAGAGGGCTCTGAGTGCTGCCTCTGGCACGCGTGCCATAGGTTCGTCACCACTGGCATAGGGTCTCCTACTTGAGCAGGGGGCTGGACTAGAAGACCTCCAAGGTCCCTTCCAACTCTGTTATTCTGTTACCCAGGGCCTTCTCTAATCCGATGCTTGGGAGATATGCCGGATCGCAAGTCCCACCGCATATAGCAAGCACAACTGTGGGCTGAGGAAGGCTCCTTTAAATACAAAGCATTTGCAATCCAAATAAATAAAAATGACATAGTGTTTCTTTTGACAAAGCATGGCACTTACATAGCATGCTTGACCTATATTTCAATCAGCAGCTGAGTCTCGCAGTTCACCTGAACCATCTGAATTGCTGTGTACAAAACATCTCCAATTGGTCTCTCTCTCTCTATACATGCGTATTCTAAGCTATTTGGGATACTACTAAATTTTACTACTGCTACTAATATTCCCACTAATCCCCATTTTTAAGACAAGCCAATACCACCGTCTTGTACAGTTGCCAGTAAATTGGCTCAGCTCCTCGGCTTCTAAGCTGAGCTGCGTTTATGCACTGCCGGTGCATTTTTTTTTCTTAAAGATGGTCCTTTGCTCTGTGCTAGATCTAATGAGGAGAGACCAGCTGTAACATGTATAAATATATAACACATTTTTGTTTGATGCTTCTTGATTGCGCCCTTCTTTTAATTGTTGCTATGCTTGCCAGCCACCCAGCGTCCCTTTTTTGTAAAAAGGCAGCTCTATAAATTTGCTAAATAAATAATTATGCAGGGCGCACACGGAAGGGAGATCGTGAACTTGTGATTATACCAGAAACGAATTCAATGGCTTATTGATATACCGCGATCAAGGAAGGAAGGAGAGCGTGAAGCTGTCAGCTTAAATAAGAAATGTAAAGTGGTTTCCATCGGTGCCGCCGATGGAAACAAATTGCTGGGTGGATGATGGCAAAAAGGGAATTTATAAAGCAATTGCTTTTGAAAGAAGAAGTAATATCCAAGTTATTCCTCTTAAAACAGGCACATAAATGGCCGAGGCTGACTTTGCATCTCCAGCTGAAAAGGATCCTTGGTGGTTGTTTGAAAGAGGCATGTTTTGAGGTGTAGACATGCCATGTAAAATGCTGAAGGGCAAAGCTCTTGGGGGCAGACCCACCCACCCCGCTGTGTGTCTCAAGGACAAACTGAGCAAGCTCT